TCCTTCCGAGTATCAGTCGTTTATGGTGGTGATAACTGCTAGTAAAGATGCATTTTATGTTGATGGAGTTAAAACCGTGTTGGTTGATACAGAATCTCAATTAAAAGGGCACATGTCAATAAGTACGAATGTAGCTCGAGTACAAAACAACCAAGGTGGCAGTCGTGCTAGTCAGTATAATCAGAATCCTTAGTATGCTGGGAGGTCTGGAGCCAGAGGTTGTGAACGTTCGAGACTTCAATGCCAACTGTGTGACAAGACTGGGCATTCTATTGATCGTTGTTGGTACCATTTCGATCAAACATTTCCAGGTGTATTGGTTGAAAAAGGTGAAGCAACTGAAGCTCATCTTAGTGTTGTGGATGATTGTTCCTCGTGCAACATAGGTGCTTATGATCAGGCTAATGTCGCTTCTACCAGTTTTTTTCGATGGGTTGTTAATTCTGGAGCGACGCACCATGCAACGTCCGACGCCACAAAGCTGGTGAATAGTTTTTACTATACTGGACGAGGTAAATTGATAGTGGGAAATGTTTATAACTTAGATATTGCTAAAACTGGTAGTTTGGTTTTACCTGCTAGTTCTCGATCCTTGGTTCTTAATAATCTGCTACTTGTTCCCTCTATCACTAAGAATTTGCTTTCTGTATCAAAGTTTGCTAGAGATAACGAGGTCTACTTTGAATTCCATGCCAAGTCGTGTTTGGTCAAAGATGAGGTGACTAGACAAGTGTTGTTGGACGGGCAAGAATGCAATGCACTTTATCAATTTGCTGCTGAACCGGATAGTGGAGGAGCTGCAATCTCATCGAAGTTAAAGATTCTAATAGTGCAAATAAAACCTATGACCTATGGCACATGTGGCTTGGTCATCCTGGTCATCATGTTCTTGTACAGGCTTGTAAACATGTTGGAGTATTGTTTTCTTCTCTAGATAATAAAACTGACAAGTCATTTTGTGTAGCTTGTAGAATGGGTAAAAGTCATAAAATGCCATTCAATAACTCCACTACAGTATATGATAAACCCTTTCAATTAGTGTTCACGGATGTATGGGGACCATCACATATAGCATCGAGTGGTTTTCAATATTATGTATCTTTCGTTGATGCTTGTACTAGACATTGCTGGGTTTATTTACTTGAGTCTAAGGATCAAGTTCTTCAAACATTTCAAATGTTTTACAACATGGTGAAGACTTAGTTTGATAAAACGATAAAAGAGGTTCAAAGTGAATGGGGAGGAGAGTATAGGCATGTTTCGGTTTGGCTAAAAACTCTGGGCGCAACTCATCGATTGTCATGTCCGCACACTTCTAAACAAAACGGTGTAGTTGAGAGAACAAACAAACATATTATCGAATCGACTCTTGTGTTAATGGCTCAAGCATCGCTGCTATTTCGTATGTTGTGAGTACGGCCATTTATCTTATAAATTGAATGCTAACTCCTTTATTACAAGGAAAATCTCTGTTTGAAAATTGTATGCCAAACAGCCAGATTATAAATACTTAAGGGTGATCGAATGTCGTTGTTTCCCACACCTAAGACCATATCAGGATCACAAAATGAGCTATAAATCACAAGCGTGTACTTTCCTAGGCTACAATAATCAACACAAGGGTTATCAGTGTATGACAGTAGATGGTAGATTTAGACATGTAATTTTTGATGAGGGTTGTTTTCCATTTGCAGGGCTACCTAATTATAGGAAAAAAGTATTTTGACACTGGACAAACCAAACTTCCAGTAGATTTTCCCTTGGTGGATGGTGCACGTTAAGTGTGCATGGATTTTTCCACAATGCAACAAAGTCAAATTGGTCAGACTAGTAGAAATGCTTCGAGTATGGGGACATCAAATCAGCCACTTCACGAGCTACTTTCTACTAGTGCTCAACAGTCAATAACTCATGGGCAAGCTGAAAGTTCAAGAGGTGGTGGTGTTGGATCGAGTGATTAACAAGAGATAGGAAATGAGCATATTGAAGAGCATAGTGATGAGTTGGAAATGGTGCCTCGGTTGCTATTAATGGTCATCACATGCTCACCCGTAGCAAAACTGGTATTTTCAAACCTAAAATATATTCTGCCATGCATGGTGATGATGAGGAACCTATATCGGTGCATGAAGCTCTCAAATCTCCAAAATGGAAGGCAGTGGTTTTGGCGGAATATAAGGCTTTAGTGAAGAATAACAAATGGTCACTCGTGACTTTGCCTGAAGGAAGAACAACCGTGGGCTGTAAATGGCTATTTCGAGTCAAAAGAAATGCAGATGGTATGATACAAAGACACAAGGTCAGGCTTGTGGCAAAGGGTTTTTCGCAAACGCTTGGATAGGATTTTCAGGACTCCTTAAGTCCGATGGTTAAACCTTCCACGGTGAAGGCTGTTTTTTCGTTGGCAGCTCGAAATCGATGGATGTTATAATTGTCACAAGAGGCTTGATTGATGAAGCATAGATAGAATGTGAGTACATAAGTCCTTTCATATATGGATGATATAATTTTCACAGGAGGCTTGATTGATGAAATTGAGAATGTGGTGAGGCTTCTTGGTGAGAAGTTTCCCCTTAAGGACCTAAGGGCACTTAACTTCTTTCTCGGTGTAGAAGTAAAACGAGTAGGAGGTACTATATTTCCCAGTTAAAGCTGAATATAATGGATTTGTTGGTAAAAACTCAGATGAATAATGCTATACCCACGCCGACACCAATGATTGCTTCAGTTAAACTCACCAAAGATGATGCAAGTAGTCCTTTGGTTGATGTGAAAGAATATTGCAGTTTGGTAGGATCATTGTTATATGTGTGTCACACGAGGCCAGATATCGCCTACGGTGTGAATAAGTTGGCACAATTCATGCATATGCCTTGTGAGAAACATTTAGTGGTTGTAAAAAGGGTGCTGAGATATCTAAATGGCACTCTCGACTATGGTTTGGCATTTTTCTCGAACTGAGAGACTCTTCAACTTACTGTCTTTGCGAATGCAGATTGGGGAGGAAGCAGAGATGGCAGGCGGTCTGGAAATTGCATTTATCTGGGTGGTAATCTGGTAATGTGGAGCTCGAGGAAGCAGAAAATGATGTCATGGTTTACCACCGAGGCTGAATACAGGAGCTTAGTGGATGTAACGTCTGATGTATCTTGGCTAGAGGTGTTACTAGGAGACATGAGAGTGAAGGTGCAGGCCGTTCCTATTGTGTAGTGTGATGATACCATTGCGATAGCAATGAACGCCAATCCTATGTATCATTCCAAGACCAAACATGTGGAGTTGGATGTCCACTTCGTGCAAGAGAAGGTGGCATCAGACAAGCTTAAGGTGAACTATGTTCCCTCTGAGCACCAAGTTGCGGATGGCTTGACCAAGTCATTGACAAATGATTATTTTGTGCGGTTTAGACAAAATTTAGGAGTTCTGTCGTTTAAAGAAGTTGAAGAAGGAAAGGGTAGAGAGAATATCGAAGTATTCTAGAAGCTATAGAAGTTAGCCGTTGCAGTTAGCTTGTTATGCCAGCTAAGCTTAGTTTGGTAGAAATGTTATGAGTCAGTTAGGTGGTGTTTGTTTTCACTATGTAAGCTATTCAAACCACTTATGTCTGTGTCGCGCAGACCACGCGCAGACATTAGGCTTTGCAGACTGTTTGATTTTTAGAAGACAGAAGCCCTTCAAACGTCTGCGCGTGCTCTTCTTGGTGCAAACTTGATTTTATGTCTTCAAAGGTCTTCAAACCTCTTCAAGAACAATTATAAAATATAGTTATTTATTAAAATAATTTTAAATAATTTAATAAGGTTATTTATTTTAAAATAATTTATTATAAAATAATTTATTTTAAAATAATTTATTATAAAATAATTTATTATAAAATAATTTATTTTAAAATAAATTATTATAAAATATGGATTGATTTATTTTAAAATAATTTATTTTAAATAATTTATTAGTATGGATTGATTTATTTTAAAATATGGATTGATTTATTTTAAAATATGGATAGATTTATTTTAAATAATTTATTAGTATGGATTGATTTATTTTAAAATATGGATTGATTTATTATTGTAGTTGTATGGATTGATTTATTTTAAATAATTTATTAGTATATATTGATTTATTTTAAAATATGGATTGATTTATTTTAAATAATTTATTAGTATGGATTGATTTATTTTAAAATATGGATTGATTTATTTTAAATAATTTATTAGTATGAATTGATTTATTTTAAAATATGGATTGATTTATTATTGTAGTTGTATGGATTGATTTATTTTAAATAATTTATTAGTATGGATTGATTAATTTTAAAATATGGATTGATTTATTTTAAATAATTTAGTAGTATGGATTGATTTATTTTAAATAATTTATTTGTATGGATTGATTTATTTTAAAATATGGATTGATTTATTATTGTAGTTGTATTGATTGATTTATTTTAAATAATTTATTAGTATGGATTGATTTATTTTAAAATATGGATTGATTTATTTTAAAATATGGATTGATTTATTTTAAATAATTTATTATTGTAGTTGTATGGATTATTTAAATTTCAATATTGTAAAACTAAAATTATTTAAATCTCAGTATTGCAAAACTCTTTTAAGTTTAAAAAATCAGTTTATTTATATTTCAGTTCATTTTAGCAGTCTGCAGACGTTAAAAAACAAACAGTCTTTTTCTTGCATACTGCAGACTTTTGGTCCACCTCTTCTGCTGCAGATGCCTGCAGATGTGGTCCGCAGACTGCAGACCTTTTACTTCTACAAAAACAAACACCACCTTACTGCTTGTATCTAAAGTATAAATAGATGTCTATGGTTTAAGCTTTTACATATTGAATAAAAAGTATCGTTTCTGTAAGTGCTTCCTTATTAGGTTTGTTAATAAAAAGGCAGCTATATGGCTCAAATAAATCAGATTATAGCATCATTTGACTGTTATTTTCACTAGAGAAAATAAAAAAAGAAGAAGAAGAAGATAAATTGTTAGAGTTTCTTGGGCAATTGATAAGCCTTCTTAAGGAACTTAGCTGCTATTTCGTCATTCCTATAACACAAAACTCTCAAAACTGTGTTGGGTTCAGTGGGATCCCAATGACCGGTGGTGGGTGGCAATGGAAGCTTTGATTTAGTAGTAGAAGAAGAAGAGCAACTCTCGAGCGTTAAATTCCTGAATTTCTCGATCAGGCTCTCTGTATCTGTTTGGAACAAGGGGAGAATCTCATTAACAGTGGTGGAGAACTCTTCCACCAACTCAGCCGGGAGTCCATCTCCATTAGACCAAAACAAATCAGTCAAACACCTAAAATCCTCGTCGATCATCTCGTAATCCTGCAGGGTGAACGCACGAGCAGGGCCTCCGGCAAGTAAAACCAGCAAGAAACCATCGAAACAAACCTGCATCACTTGAGTGATAACCCGTGTCCTAACCTTGTGATGCACCTTTAATGAAATGACCTCCAAATGGTGGTCGAGCTCTTGAAGAAAAGGATCAATTCTTGAAGATGAAACTTCCCCGACATACAAACCATCCCAGAAGAGATGAGTTAGGTCACGGAAGATGACTTTGTTCGCCGTTGCTTCACATAGCTGTTGGATCCCTTCTTCACATGCATCAGCTGAGACTCTAAACGCTTTCTCCATGTTCCCATTGGAAATATCATGAGTTTCCCTTTTCGCCAATCCATCCAACTGAGTTTGAAGATAGTGCAGTGTGTTAATTCGACAGCACATTTGGGGTGTCCCGGAGGAATCACTGTCATTGGCAGTTGCAGTCCCAGCATGAGGCTTCTTATGAGCCTTTTCTTTTCTCTTGAACACACTGGGAAGCTTGGAGGGTTGAGAACATCTCGTCAAAGGCGGCATTGTGGGTACATAACTACTGCTCTCTGTGTATCACAAGATGCGTTAAGAATTCGTAAACAGAAAAATAATTAAGTGAAATCAACACGAAATTGTGATACATGCATTAGTCTTGTGTAGGTAAAACGTACCACAGCCGGACTTTGTCATGGAAATGTAATATTGAAGACAGTCATTGATCCCAGTGGCTAAATCGGGAAGCAAATCCGCATGTATAGTTATTGGTAACGAGAAGAATGCTTCAACAGCTTCATCTACAATACGCAACACATCAACTGCAGATAGAGCAAAACGCTCCCTAGTGGCCTTGGGATCCCATGCCTACAGAGAGATGAGAAAAATACACGATGCATAAGTATACCGGTTTCATTTGGCATAAGATGGTCAAATTATGGATTTGATCCCTCTACTATGCTTGAATTTAGTCATTATCTGGGACAGAATTCAACCCATATTACCTCTTGTTGCAGGTTCCTGTGAACCCATTCCTTCAATCTATCAGTTCTGGTGGTTATCCATGATTTAACCAGATCACAAATGACAGATTCTGCCTCATAAGGTACCATCTCCCTTATGATTGACTTCCCACCATCTTCACTCTCAACTACCATTTGCACCAAATCTTTCTCCAATTTGTCTGCAACTTTCAGCACTCGTAAAATATCCGGCGACAGTTCGTCGATGCCGGAAATATATTGCTTGAGCTCATTCCCGTAGCAGGAATGAAGGGTGACGATTGCTACGGTGGCTGCAAGCGGATGCCACCGTTTTAATATGGGACTGAATACTTCCTTCTCGGTAGAAGCCAGTGTACGCAATTCCTCTGCAAGTCTGGCCATGAAAGGAAGCTCGTTGTGATGGTGCTTTGATGGAGAGTTGCTCGACTTTTCCTTATCCATTACCTGTCTAGATACATATCAATTGATAAAAAAACGTGTTATCTTTCAGGTAAAATTGTGAAATCCTTCCCCTAGTGGACTTAATTTGAATATTCTTGTTTTATCCTTAATTTTGCCAAGATTTAGTCCATGAAGTTATTTCAGGATATAGGAGACTTGTTACCTGATGTTGCTCATTCATATACAGGGACAAAATAAAAGATTAAGCTCAAATATTGGGAACTTGCCTGGGAAAAAGCAGCACACAATGATGACTTTATGTATCCATCAACTCTCTCATATCCCACATCGTTTCCGTTTCCTTCAACACCATCTTCTTCTGCCATTATCTTTGCCGATAGAACCGCCATGGAAACAACACATGCCATCGACTCAGTGTTATCTCTACGAAAACAACTGTGGTAAACAACAAGCCTTTTCTCAGCCCAACCTGAGATCGCACTCAAAGTAGAACTCAACATCTTGGCATAATTGGCATCTCCTTTCAATGCCTTGGCATCGTTTTCGACTCTCACTAACATTTTATCGGCTGCGTTCAACAGGTCGCCTTCGGCATGCTCCGTCGACGTGTAACGGTTAAACAATATCCACAGGAAGCTAAGATTGTGAAGCGTCTGGTTCAATCCCAGGACCAACCATGTCTTCTTTATGAGCTCTAGGACTTCGTCTAGCTCTTCAACCACTGATGTCTCGTCATTTTGATCAAAACATGCTTCGAGCAGCATTTTGTAGATTTTGAGGTTCAAAGGGAAACCATTTGCCCAGTTACTATTATCAGAAATTGACCCGTCGTCGCGTGATCTACAAGCGAGCGATGTTACGATGCTCCGAAGGGCTTGCATCAATTCGTTGATTGTTACGGTGTTGAAAGGGTTCTCTGATACCCCGTCGATGACCTTTCTTAGCTGCTGTGGCGCAGTGTCTTTGTTGTTTAATGGTATTAGAGGATGCAAGAGGAGTCCGGCTTCGAGGAGCTTCAAATTTCTCCTCTGCCAAGCTTCGTATTCTTCTTGGTTCGGGAAATCCGAAGGCTGGAGTTGCTGCAGCATCTCGAGTGGTAAAACCAAGGACTCTATCGTCTGATAAAAACACAAATTGGCACTACTTTTGTTAATAAAGGTGTGATCGAGTTGAATCGAATTTGAGTAATAATAAACTCTTATTTAAATTTCAGATACAGTCAAATAATCAGCTCAAGTTCAATTAAATTTAGGGTCAACTACATAAATGGTTACTTATGTTTGAATAAGGTTTTTGTTTTCCCATTGAAGTTTCAACGGTTGTAAATTAACCTAATCACTAATGTTACCAATTTATAACAAATCGATCACTCAATGTTCACAGTCGTTATTATGGATGATGAAAAGCTGATGTGGTACATTAATCGCTACCCTGACACCATTTGACCACGAGAGAGCCGTTTTTGTTGGTAATGCTCAATCCCACATAGTGTTGGAAACACTATTGGGAATGGTATTTAAGGCTTGACATTCCACTTCCTTGTTGAGTGATAGAGAACAAGGGGGGCTCTCGCGCACCGCCGCCGCCGTCCGTCCGTCTCGTCTCGGCTCGGCTCGGCTCGGCACGGCACACGTCCGCGCGGATACTATCTTTTTAGAGAAAATTCTTGAGGAACTGCTGAGGACTGTTTGAATTTCAAATAATAACAGCTGAATTATTTTTTATCAGAAATTAAACAGTTTATTCCTAAATTAAATCAGAAACGTTAAGATGTACCTGGACTGATTTACAGCTTTGTACAGAGGAGACAAGCTGTTAATATCAGGAGTTACAGGAGTTATTTGATTTAATTCCAGGGGTTACATGATATAATTTCGGGAGTTATAACAGCTGAATAATGATACAATGAACCTGGACTATTTCTGAGTCAGGTTCATCTAGTCATTTCAGCTGTTACAAATAAGAGGTTTAATCCTGAAATTTTATGGACGACTTTAACCCTATTTCTAGCCTATAAATAGAGAGCTATATTCAGCTTCTCAACTCACTCCAAAACATTCACAATTCACTTACCAAAGTGTTTTCTAAAGTTCTCTCTGTGAGTTCTCTCTGAGTGCTTTCCGATCAGAAGTGCAATACCACCAGCAGTCCACTCCGGTTTCGGGTGTACGGAATTCGGAGCGACCGTGTTAACCTCGGGGGACGGTCCGCCTACTGCAGCGATTACACACATCGAGGCGAATTCGTTTCTAAGGCAGTGGTCCTTACCACGACACGGTTTACGAATCTGTTCTTCTTAATTACTGTTTATATTTTCAGTCAGTGCTAACGGTGTAGTTTTGCAGTTCATATATCCAACAATTTAGAAACGAATTCCCATAAACTGCAATCATGTCGACACCTTTGAGCAAACTCATTCCCGATCTTTCCAAGCTCGATGCACTTGATGGAAAGAACTATAGAAGGTGGTCCCAAAGAATTCTTATATTCTTCGAGCAACTTGATCTTGATTACGTGTTGCTCAAGCCACCACCTACCATGCCGCCAACCCCAGCTGTTGGTAATGATGCTGATGCGGTCCTCAATGATGATGCCTTAGCAACTGCCGCCGCCGCTCTCGCTACCTACGAGAAATTCGAGAAGGATAACAAGACGGTACGAGGACATCTGCTCAGCCACATGTCAAATAAACTATTTGATATGTTCCTTAGAGAAAAGAGTGCCAAGGCAATATGGGACACTCTCGACAAGAAGTATGGTGCGGATGATGCGGGGATCAAGAAGTACGTTGTCGGCGAATGGCTCAAATTCCAGATGACAGACGACAAGCCAATAATGGATCAAGTCCATGACTATGAGAACTTAGTCGCTGACATCATCGCTGAAGGGATGCAAATGTGTGAGGTGCTGCAAGCCAATGTACTCATTGAGAAACTGCCCAAGTCCTGGTCCGATTACCGTAACTCTCTTAAGCATAAGAAGAGAGACATTTCGCTTGAAGAACTTGTGGGCCATATGAAGATTGAAGAAGATCATGAAACGTGGGAATCAAGACAAAAAGACGAAACCACAGAAGGCTACCAACTTCAAGAAGTCAGGAAAGGCCAAACCGGAAGGAAAGACGTTCAAGTGTTATGTCTGCGGTTTACCTGGCCACAAGGCTTACCAATGCCAACACCGCTCAGACCGCCAGAATGACAACAAGCCACAGATGCACGTTGTAGAAGAAGATGATGAGATCATTGCTGCGGTGGTCTCAGAAGTTAATCTGGTGGAGAACAGTTCAGAATGGGTAGTTGACACTGGCGCTTCGAAGCATTTCTGCGCAAGGAATGAGTTTTTCACTGAGTTCGAGGATGGAAACACTGGTGAACGTGTGTACATGGGGAACTCTAGCAGCTCTGAAGTGCTAGGCAAAGGCAAGGTTTTACTCAAGCTGACTTCTGGTAAAACTCTGGCTTTAAATAATGTTCTGTATGTACCTGCCTTGCGTAGAAATTTGATAAGTGGTGGGCTTCTGAATAAGGCAGGCATTAAGTTAGTTTTTGAGGCAGATAAACTTTTACTTTCCCGAAATGGTGATTATGTGGGGAAAGGGTTTTTAAGCAATGGTTTATTTGTCATAGAAACTCAATTTAATGAAAATAAAGCTACCACTTCTGCTTATATTGTTGAATCCATTGATATGTGGCATGCTAGATTAGGACACGTGAATATTCATGCTTTAAAGAAATTAATGAATATGAATGTTCTGCCTAAACTAGACACAACTAGCTTTAACAAATGTGAGATTTGTGTAGAAGCTAAGCATACTAAACCTCACTTTAAGACTGTTTCTAATAGAAAGACTGAACTGTTAGAACTCATTCATACTGATCTAGCAGATTTTAGAAACACTGAAAGTAAAGGAGGAAAACACTACTACATAACTTTTGTAGATGATTATTCAAGATATACAAAAGTTTATCTCCTAAGAACTAAAGATGAAGCTGAAAACTTCTTTCTTATTTATAAGGCAGAAGTTGAAAATCAGTTAGATAGGAGAATCAAACGAGTTAGATCTGATAGAGGTGGTGAATATGGATCTAATTTCTTAAAAGATATTTGTGAAAAGAATGGCATAATTCATGAAACATCAGCCCCCTATTTTCCTCAACAGAATGGTATAGCCGAAAGGAAAAATAGAACTTTAAAAGAGATGATGAATTCTTTACTAATAAGTTCTGGGTTATCTGATAACATGTGGGGGGAGGCCATTCTATCGGCAACTCATATCTTGAACCGAGTTCCTCATAAGAAATTAGATTCTACCCCATATGAATTGTGGAAAGGATACGCTCCTAATTTACAATACCTGAAAGTGTGGGGGTGTCTGGCTAAAGTGGGCTTGCCAGACTTTAAGAAGTCCACCATCGGACCTAAAACCGTTGATGCAGTGTTTATAGGGTATGCTACGAATAGTGCTGCATACAGATTCATGCTTTTACAAGATTATTCTATTTGTGAATCAAGAGATGCTGTTTTCTTTGAAAATACTTTTCCTTTAAAGGAACCGAGAATAAATATTGAAACACAAATAGAATATATTCCATCAACTTCTTCTAGTAAACCTGCTAGGTCTTCTGAACAAATTGATTTTGAGCCTAGAAGAAGTAAAAGGCAAAGAGTTGAAACCTCTTTTGGACCAGACTTTATTACTTCCTTTATTTCTGAGATAAATGATTTAGACTTCATTTCAGATCCTATAGCTCAAATTTTTCTATTAGATGAGGATCCTAAAACTTTTGAAGAAGCTATAAGATCTATCGATGCTAGTTTTTGGAAAAGCGCTGTTAATGATGAACTAGAATCGATAATGTCTAATCATACTTGGGAATTAGTTGACTTGCCTAAGGGATTCAAACCAATCTCCAACAAATGGGTCTTCCGGAAGAAACTAAGGCCAGATGGTTCGATTCAGCGATACAAGGCAAGGTTAGTCGTCAAAGGGTTCACTCAAAGGTTTGGTTTAGACTACTTTGATACATACTCTCCCGTTACAAAAATCTCAACGATTCGTGCATTATTTGCACTAGCCTCTATTCATAAGTTGCAGGTACATCAAATGGATGTTAAGACTGCTTTCTTGAATGGGGATCTAGATGAGGAGATTTACATGGAGCAGCCACTAGGTTTTGAGGCACCTGGTATGGAAGGCAAAGTTTGTAGACTCAAAAAGTCACTCTATGGACTTAAGCAGGCTCCTAAACAGTGGTATGAGAAATTTCATAAAACTATTCTTAGTTTTGGTTTTGTTGTGAATGGTTCGGATGCTTGTGTGTATTCGAAGATGTTTGAAACTGAATGTGTTATCATAAGTCTTTATGTTGACGACATGTTGATTTTCAGTTCTAACATTGAGTCCATTAACAAAGTTAAAAATTTCTTGTCCACTAAGTTTGAGATGACAGATTTGGGAGAAGTAGATGTAATCTTAGGAGTCAAAATTACCAAAACTGAGAAGGGATTTTCTTTATGTCAAGCACATTATATAGAGAAAGTGCTAAAGAAATTTGACAGTTTTGATGTCGTTCCTGTTCGAACTCCTTATGACCCTAGCATACATCTAGTTAAGAATAAAGGAAGTAGTGTTTCCCAAACTGAATATGCTAAATTAATCGGAAGTTTAATGTTCTTAATGAACTATACTCGGCCTGATATTGCTTATGCTGTGAGTAGACTAAGTAGATATACTCATAATCCGAGTGGTGAGCACTGGATTGCGCTTAAACGCTTACTGAAGTATCTTAAGGGTACTGTGAATTGGAAACTTGAGTTTGTTGGCTTTCCTGCGGTATTGGAAGGATATTGTGATGCCAACTGGGTTTCTGATAATGATGAGGTAAGCTCTACGAGCGGGTATGTTTTTACTTTGGGTGGAGCAGCGATCTCGTGGAAATCATCAAAGCAGACTTGTATTGCTCGTTCTACCATGGAGTCAGAGTTTATAGCTCTTGACCTAGCTGGGCAAGAAGCCGAGTGGCTCAGAAGCTTGTTAGCAGATATTCCGTTGTGGGGAAGACCGACTCCTCCAGTTTCATTGTTGTGTGATTCACAAGCTGCGATATGTGTGGCTAAGAACCAAGCTTACAATGGTAAGAAAAGACACATTCGCATAAGACATGAATCAGTTAGACACTTGATAAAGAATGGAGTGCTCTCTTTAGAGTATGTGAAGTCGGAAAGGAACCTAGCAGATCCACTTACCAAAGGGTTAAGTCGGAAGCTGGTCCTAGATTCGTCGAGGGGGATGGGTCTAAAGCCCATTGGTTGAGGAATTCATGGTGGATACCCAACTTAGTTATCTAAGTTCCATGTGGTCAAACGAAACCATGGAAAGACTCATAGTGCACATTCCTACTGCCTATCCCTATGATGAATAATGTGCATGCCCAGGATGAGCTTAATTGCTCTTAATAAATTCATAGCCCAGGCTTTGGGTGGTCTTAGTGAGAAAGACTTGATGAATTTACCGATTTTGGCTGAATATCTATTCTTAATAAGTTCATAACCCAGAGTGAGTGGGTAGGAAATGATGAACTTACCGACAGAAAGGTTGAGTTTGTTAAACTCTTAATAAATTCAAATCCAAGTATTTGGATGGTTCTAGTGAGAAGGACTTATTGAATTTACCGATAAATGAGGTTGAATATTTATTCTTAATGACTTCTTAGCCCAGAGTTTGGGTGGTTCATTTATAATGAACTTGAAAAAAAGTCACCATACCCTTTGTGAGGTTGAGCTATTATAAAAGCTCTTAATTATTTCATATTCCTTTTTAAAGGGTGGTTTATGTTGAGATAAACTTGATGAAATAACCTATGTAAGTGAGAAGGGTTAGCCGCCTTCTATGAAAAATGTTGGGCTATTTTTCTAGCACACTTACTAGAATCCTGAGGTAAGATGGCCAAATATATACTTTTGTATATATATCTTACACATCGAGGACTCAGGTGGATGAAGGGGTTAGTTGTGTGTTATGAGTTTACCCTGATCTTAGAAAGTTCCAGACTAGTTTCACTTATCTAAGAGAAGGATTGCTCATCATCACTATGTACTAGTTCCAGATATGTTCACTAGTGCTTAAACAACTAATCTCGCTATTACTCTTCTGGAAAGCTTGTTTTCGAGTTTCAGAAGATTTCTTTCGCATTAGTGGGGGAATGTTGGTAATGCTCAATCCCACATAGTGTTGGAAACACTATTGGGAATGGTATTTAAGGCTTGACATTCCACTTCCTTGTTGAGTGATAGAGAACAAGGGGGGCTCTCGCGCACCGCCGCCGCCGTCCGTCCGTCTCGTCTCGGCTCGGCTCGGCACGGCACGGCACGGCTCGGCTCGGCTCGGCTCGTGGTCGTGGTCGAGGTCGAGGTCGTGGTCGTGGTCGTGGTCGTGGTAATACGTGTCTTCGACACGTCCGCGCGGATACTATCTTTTTAGAGAAAATTCTTGAGGAATTTCTCTTTGAAAGAAACAAATGGAAAATGTGAAAGATATCAACTGATATTTATAGGCTGCTGAGGACTGTTTGAATTTCAAATAATAACAGCTGAATTATTTTTTATCAGAAATTAAACAGTTTATTCCTAAATTAAATCAGAAACGTTAAGATGTACCTGGACTGATTTACAGCTTTGTACAGAGGAGACAAGCTGTTAATATCAGGAGTTACAGGAGTTATTTGATTTAATTCCAGGGGTTACATGATATAATTTCGGGAGTTATAACAGCTGAATAATGATACAATGAACCTGGACTATTTCTGAGTCAGGTTCATCTAGTCATTTCAGCTGTTACAAATAAGAGGTTTAATCCTGAAATTTTATGGACGACTTTAACCCTATTTCTAGCCTATAAATAGAGAGCTATATTCAGCTTCTCAACTCACTCCAAAACATTCACAATTCACTTACCAAAGTGTTTTCTAAAGTTCTCTCTGTGAGTTCTCTCTGAGTGCTTTCCGATCAGAAGTGCAATACCACCAGCAGTCCACTCCGGTTTCGGGTGTACGGAATTCGGAGCGACCGTGTTAACCTCGGGGGACGGTCCGCCTACTGCAGCGATTACACACATCGAGGCGAATTCGTTTCTAAGGCAGTGGTCCTTACCACGACACGGTTTACGAATCTGTTCTTCTTAATTACTGTTTATATTTTCAGTCAGTGCTAACGGTGTAGTTTTGCAGTTCATATATCCAACAGTTTTGACGGATTTTCTCTTTCATATCCACACTTCCTTTGTTGTTGTTTTATACTATATACCAGCCCCTTTCAATCCCTTCAATCCACTCCTGTTTTAGTGTATTTTTCATTAGATTCTCGTGTGTTTGGTTTAAAGATTAATGGTTAATTTGAAGAAAAAAGGAAAAAATGTTGTCTATTTTTCACAAGACATTTGTTAATTCACCAAAGGAGCTGAACAATTCATCTTCTCAGAAATCTTCAAAGAATCGTAAACAACCTAAAGAAACTCTAAATGAAATCCTTTCTCATCATCTTTACAACACTTTCTCCATGAGCTTTGGCAACACTATGATCTTAGCTTATGTCTGCCATAAAAGTCAACCTTCAATCAGTAAAAGGTAACAAGTTTTGTACGAGAAAATAACTCAAATGGTTCATAAGGGGATTGCCTGGGTTCTCCCCTCTGCTATGGTTTCTCGTCTCTCTTTATACTCCCACAGTCCTACTCTTTACGCTTTCCTATTATTTACTTTATTCATATTCGCTGCACCATACTGGATCGACACGTGGTCTCACATCATTTATCATCAACAACTCAGATTTATCTCATGATCTCCAAACTATTCATCATCCACTACTTATAAATCTCAAAGCTAAGGTTTAGGTATTTGTTTACATATTTAAAACTAAAAGTAACATATCTGCTTTAAAATACAAATTTTTGCTAAGTTCAAAATATTAAGTAGAATAACCATTATCATTCACTATATGTTTTATTAATAATGAACAAACAATTGTCTCTTGCAGCTTCTTGTGTCTCACACGAATTTGATCAATGGCCAAAAGATTAGGAGTCACCTAAAGCTGGTAGATTTGGCTGACAGTGAACGTGTGAAAAAGGTTGAGTTGAAGGTGAAAGATTGAAGGAATCCCAGTTTATAAATAAAGCTCTCTCAGCGCTTGGAGATGTGATTTCTGCCCTTGCATCCAAGTCTAACCATTATTCCTTACATGTTTCACCCCCTCTCTATCTCATCACTCTCATGCAAACACAACACATACGCTCAACACATCAAAAACTAAGTCTAACATCAAAACTTCTACTCTTTCTACTTTTCCATGAAACCAGGAACTCGACTAACGCATAAGCTATAGAGTTCTCTGAGTAAAATGGAAGAGAAAAATCGGTCAAAATGGCTCTGTCGTGGTCAAATGGTGTCAGGTCAGCAGTTAAAGTGTCACATTTGTTTTTTGTCACCACAATAACAGTTAACGTTAAGTGATCGATTTGTTACAAATCGATAATGTTAGTACCAATTTTTACTTTTGAAACTTCAGTTAGAAAAATAGATACTTACTTAAACATAAGTGATCATTCGAATAGTTTACCATTAAATTTATTTACTATAAAAAGGAAATAATATAGATGTACGAAATTTTAATCTCAACTATTTCATTTATAATCATTCAATAATCATAAATCATTATAAAATTAGTGAAAGTGAATCACATCTGTATTTATAGAAAGTCCAGTGAATTCTAGGACTTGATCAAATTATGGATTTAATTTTAAATTGATCGTTAAATTTCATAAAATTCTAATTAAATCTTTAAATAGAAGTATTGTTTCAATTAGTTCTTTCCTTCAACCTACTCGTTACCTTTAGTGGTAACACCATCGATTGAAATATTTTAAAATTTCGGATTAATATAAATTTTTGTTATAGTTTAGGGATGTCGTGTGTTTAACCTAAAAAGAAAGAAATGTTGTACAATTCTTTTATGGGTAAAGTACATTGAGATCATTGAATTATATTCAAATTATCGTTTAAATCAGTGAACTTTTAATATTTATAAAATAATTATTAAATTTTATCAAATTGTTATAAAAAGATCATTAAATTTATCAAATTCTTATACTTATTATAACGTTGCAATTATTATTTTGTAATATTTTAATAGATACAATGAATTATTTTATAAATTTGAATGTTTAGTGACCAAAACGATTGTTTGAGTATAGTTAAATGACCACTAATGTAATCCGATTTTTAACTAACCTGATTAGCAGCAAATTTCGAGAGAGCTTTTCTAACTATGGAATCCGTTTGCTCTGAAACACGCAATTGAACTCGCAACGTCTCCTCAATCGAACTCGCCTTTTTGACTCGGTCCTTGCCGTGCTTGTTACCACTCGACTTCCTCCGAGATCGCAATCCTAAAGCCTTCTTCATCTTACTTGCCGCCCTGGACGTCAATGACGTGTGTGATGTCGAAGCCCCTTTCTCCGATTTTGTTACGTTATTATTCGACTTTTTACCGCCGCAACTCAGACATGCTCCAACCAGAATCTCGTAAGCCGTCTCACGGAGCTCCGAGTCCGATAAATCCGTCGCCAACTCCCCGAAGGGACACGGAAGCGTTTCAGTATGGTCATTACGCATTGCCCTCGCAACCTTTATCGCCGACGCCGCCTCCGCGATTGTCGTTTTATGATGATGGTAACGTCGTTTGACTTTCCTGGAAGTTCTGTTCCCTAATGTACACAACATGTTAATTGTATCAGAAATTAAAAAAGGGTAAGAATAAACTAAATTTGACATGTTCATTGAAGGTTTTATAGAGGGTGATTGGTGATTAATGCACTGTTTTTTTCTTTGTTTTTATTTATTCTGTTTGGACCAACGGAAAATCTTGAATATGAAGGAAACGAAATGAAAGTTCTGCGAATTTCATCAAACAGAATTTCGGACAGTGAAAGGATATGTATTCTTCTCCTACAAAAGCGAAGACTGTATAATGGATATGAATAAATTTCAGACATTTCCTCAATGGTTTAATTATGATTTTAATCCCTCTATTCTATAAAAATTTAATCATTATTCGGCATAATTTGAGCCTTCACTTTTATAAAATTATTAGTGGGTTTCAAACTTTCAGACTCTATAGTGTTTTTAATCAATCATGTTCAACCAATAATAAAATCACGTCACTCAAATGCCTTAACTTTATTTTAAATAAACTTTGACTACATCACTTTAAGACAGCAACTAATGGTGTTATCAATTTATATATGCTCATAACATTATTAAAACAGAGAGATCAAACACTGTCAAATTGAGGTATTAAGACAAATTTCATATTTTAACATTATTGGTAGGCTAAAACTATAATTAGACCTTTCTGGCTCTGGATTCATTTTCCTTGAATGAGCAAGAGATCAAAAACTTTTTTACATTTAGCTCCTACGTAAATTCAATTGATTATATGTAGTCCAAATGTGGGAATCACTTCCTTTTTAATATGATTTTCGTCCTTGCAATGCCATCATTGGGGGGCTATGCACATAATTGACAATGATTTAAAGGTCCTGGAAATTATGGAGCATTTCGGAAAAGCTCCTCCGAATTCGTACCGGTTTTCGACACGGGTATTTTGGTACAATCAGAAATACGGTAAATTTTATTTTCATAAAAAATACACTACCACAATCAATTGGTAAGATTATAAATAAAAAATAAAGAAATTTATACAAATAGAGAATCACCTGTTGATTTTTTGAGTTATCGAAGATCAATTTTTTTTAATCTTCTGATTCTGATATTCAACGATCATCGTTTGATAATCCTTTTACCGGCAATAATGTAGCCATCGAAAAAAAAAATGCTGGGAGAAAGGAGAAGAGAAACATGAATATTTGCATTACAATTTTGGTTGGAAAAGAATGAGAGAAAATTGGGATGAGACGGAAGATGGCAAGTTCGGATAAAATTTGTGCGTGTTGGTTTACATGTTTACTGATTGTTATGTTGTTTATTTTTATTTACTATTTTATTATCTTTATTTTAATTAATTAATTTTTTTGATATCAAAATTAAATTATTTGATTAAAAAGTCAAAATATTAATATTTATAAAGACGTATAATTATTAACATTTTTTATATAATCATTGGTATTATATCTATTGATCAAGTAATCCAGATCGCATATTACAAAGATTAGGATTCAACCTAATTTATCCATCGCAAACGCCAAGAATGGAACCCCATACCTTATTTAAGGAATCTAATGTCTCATCCCACTAAACATGTTGTTAGTGTATAATTGTTAACATGTATCAACGTTAATTTGATTAAAATAATTTCATATTTAATAAGTATGTTGTGCATACATTTTATAAAAGAAAATACTAAAAACTTACTAAAGTATTTTCATTTGATTGTTGGATGAACAATGAAAGAGATGCAATCTCATTTCAACGTTTTTTTTGGGAATGTTTTTCCAAACGAGTTCTTTTTAACGCAAAAATATTGTGTTTTGAGTTTCTTGGTTTGAGTTAATAATCACGTTTCGTACGTGAATTTTTGGTTGAAAATGAGTTGTTTAGGAATGATTTTGAATTTCAAACGAAATTTTAGGCAAAAAGCACTTCCATAAGCATTCTCAAACGGCCCCTTAATCAATATTAATTAGTGATGCTGATTAGTTAAGGTTATGCGCACTATAGACTACCATTCAATCTTATATGAAAATTTAAAAAGCGTCTATATTTCACTCATTTTTATTAATCTATGATGAATACAATGGTAGTATATGTTTAAATGACTCTCTTCCTGTAACACCCAAATCTCACGAATTCGAGCATCACACGAAATCACCAAAGTGACTAACCATTTTTTCATTAAAATCATGCTCACTTCTAAAATACTTACACAAGGAATGAAACCATAACCATTTACAAAAGCAAGGCTCTAATTTAAAAACTTGATAAATAAAATAAATAATTAAAATATTACAAGTTGACTCATTTCAAATCATGACCTCTACATTCCACTAAGTCGTTATCATCGTAATCTGGTACTCCCCTAAGATTCCTCCGATGATAGAGTTGTCCTATCGCACTCCATGAAACCCGCGAACGAAAACACATTTCGAACACTAAGCTCGCAAGCCTCACGCCACACAGTACCTCAACTATTCTACATAAATTCATAAAATAAGCATGCTAACAACTACAGTCAGAGAAACAATACTATTATGCCATCAATGCTACTAAACCATCTACTCAAGGTACATCCATTATCACGAGGGGCTGAGTCTCATGCTTCCCCTAGTCTACTGTTAAGGGTCTTTCCATGAGTATGAATATATTGGGTCTCTAACCATAATATCACACAACTATACATCATCATATCCAACACATAATCACCAAACACACAAACAAGGGCATGCATCATGGTGTAGTAAGGTCACTTAGCATCTTAGGACTCACACCCCTCAATCCTACCCAAGGTACCCTAGGTAAGACCAGAGTCACTGAACAACAAAATCTTCATCTAGAAGGGCCCTCTTTGCCTAGTACCTAGAACACCTCCAGGGTCAGATAGCATCGAAGCCTACGTCCTACTAGTCTACTCCTTATGAGTACTTGGGACTCCTCCAGGGTCACAAAGCATCAGAGTCTATGCCTGCTATAATTTATGTAATGCCTTAAATATTCGTCTGATAGTTTTTTATCAACCCTATAATTTATTTAATAAACGTATTACAACACGAGGGTCCTTGGGTTCGAATTTGAGTTTAATTGGGCAAGAAATTAGCCTTGTAGAAGATAAAAAAGGATTTTTTAAGCTTAGAAAGAATATATGAGGACCTAGAGTGTAATTTTACCATTAAAGAAAAATATGACTGATATGGGAAAGTTTTTTGATGATTCACATGGGCCTATTTTGACTAATTTGAATACTCCATTTTTCCCTCATTTTCCCAACACTTCTATTCCTCTCATATAATTTTTTCTTCTATATTTCTTTTTAACCAATCAAGAGAATGAGAAAAGGCTTTTCCTTTCTCCATCTTCTTAACCCTATTTGAAAATCTAAGGTGAGATTCACCTTCTTTGAATTTTAAGATCTAAGATGAGTTCACCATATTCTTCAATAGTGGTCATAAACTCATTTTAGGTTTTGGGAGGGTTTAAGCTCCAAGAGCTTCCTCCAATGATTTCTTCTTGATTTTTATGAAGTTTAGTTGTTGTTTAACAACTAGTATCCTTCCTTTTCATGTTGTAATCATTTTGTGGCTTTTGGTTGGTGGAGGTATGGTGTAAGAACCCCTAAAGGCAAGGAGTTATCAAGGTCAATTGTTTTGAGGATTTGGAAAGGTATTTGGGTAGCTAGGAGTTGAGGTAACACATTATAACTCTTCCTTTCTACTTGTGTATCATTCAAATGAGTTTGCTTACTTGTATGGGGTAGGAAGAACATGTGGGGTTTGGGTTCTTGATTTATGTTTATGGATATTTTGGATGTTATTCTAGTGTAAAAATGATGTATATTGACCCCTGATATCTTTCATAAGCTTTAATAATCAACTTAGACCTTAGAATAAATGCTTGGGATGAGTTTGGGGGTGTTTTCCGAGCAAAACAATCTTGTTCTGAGCAATAGTATCGATACTATACGAAAAATGTCGATATTGTTCGTGTTTGGGATGAAAATATGGTTTTTTAGGGCTTCGGTATTGATACTAGGGTATTGGTATCGATACTGACCCCTTGGTATCGATACCGTATGCTCTATATCGAGATCAGATATTCGGTCTTGATAACAAAAAATTGGTCTCCATACCAAAAAATTGGTCTCCATACCAAACGATTGGTCTCTATATCGGAGGGATGATATTCATACCAAAGATTGAGTATCCATACCAACAGTTCGGTATCAATGCTTAAAGTAGTTAAGTTAGTTCATGATGTCAAATAGACTTAAGAGTGAGGAATCTAATATCAATTAAGATCAAGAACCTAACCTAACTGTGGATATTACTAAATTGCCCTTGGGGTAAAATTTACCAATTTACCCTTATGTGCCTATGTTAATAAAATAGCCTACACGAGTTACTTATGTATGACGAGAACATATCAATCTCCCTTTAATTCAAGGGTGAATCAAGGTAAAATATAATGAGAATGGATACATTATCGCCACTAATTAGCTAATCTGAGTTGAACTTTAGACTAATAGATAACCTAACAAGTGAATAGTAGTATCACAATTCTAGTTTGTCTATGCCACATGTAACTCTTTGTAGCCCTTTTGATATGCATGACTGGTTTAGTTGGGTTCATGAAGCATGTACAAGTAATCCTTGGTAAATTTTATGTTTGATGTTTTTAAGCTTGGAAAGTAACTCCTTTTAACTTCTAAGATATCAAATAAAACTCTAATAATGTTTGCAAACCTTAGAGGTGAACGGGTGCGTTAAAGATATATTTCGTACCCAAAGTAGGGCACTTCAAGTCGTGAGTACCAGTACTGGAATCGTGATACTACTATTCACTTGTTGGGTTATCTGTTAGTCTGAGGTTCAACTCAGATTAGCTAATTAGCGGTCTATTTTTGTATAAGTATCACTTTACTTTGAGTAGTGTAAAAACAAGGCATTTGTGAAGGTAATATCGATACTCTCTTAAGAGTATCATTACTTATGGTCCGATTTCTATACTCAAGGGGTGGTAT